TAAAAACATACTGTTTTAGTGTATTTTTTGTTTTTAACAACCTAGTTTACTTTTAAAAAAGTTCAAAGCATCTAAAAGTTGTTATGAGAACACCCGGTGATGGATGCTTAAACCCTAAACCCTATTTATGCACAGAACCCTATTGAGGCGAATGGTTGGGTTATTCTGTTTACTGTCCAGATTGCTCTGATTTACAAATTTCCCTTGGTGGTCATTGAGACTGATTCTATGACTATTTTTAAGATACTTACTAAGACCAATGCCCCACCATGGAATTTGCTTTATCTTTTAAACATAATTTGGCATCTTCTTGATACTCATTATTTGCAGGTTCAATATTCTTTCATCCATAGGGAGGGTAATGCACCTGCTGACTTTTTGGCTAAAATTGGCCATACTAAGATCTCTGTGGGCCACCTTCCTTCGAATATGCTAAGGAAACTTTTGCTTGGGGATAAATTAGATTCCCCATACATTCGTGCATGGTTTTGGTTCTCTTAATTTTATTTGTTGCAGGTCCCTTTGCATTTCTTGCAGAATTTACTAGAGTCTTCCCTCTCTATTTCGTTGTTTGATGTTGAAGTTATTAGCTATGCTCAGAATGTTTTACTTCCCTGTTTGGTTTCTGTTGCCCCCTGCGGTCTGGATGGATTGTTGGGCTTATAATCTCTTTTGCAGCTTCATTCATCAACTTCTCGGTTATTACATGGCTTCATTCATTTTATGGTTTCTTAATTTTAATTGGGATTTTGGTCAAAATTGGTCGAATTGGTCAAATTTGGTTCAATGGGTGGCTAGGATTGATTTTGGGAGTGTTTGAAATGATTTTGGGGGTTTTGGGAATCTTTGGGCCATGAGGGGGCATTTTGGTCATTTTGGAATAGTTAGGGGTATTTTGGAAAGTTCAGAAATTTTGGTGTGTTTTGGGTAATTTGAGTGGCTTGAGAGGGTTTGAGATGATTTTTGGACAAAATTTTAGGAATTTGGAAATTTGAAAATTTAGGGTTTTAGGGGCAATTTGGTAATTTTTGGAAAGTTTGAGGTCAAAAGGCTAATTTAGGTATTTGGGTATAATGAGATTAATTGAAGATGCTAATCATAAAATTACCCTTATGGTGCCATGAGACCAAGGGAGCTCACATTTTGGATGGCTAAGGGTTTGGGGGACCATCTACATGAGTTTCCAAAAGAGTAAGGGACCAAGCTAAGCATGTTTGGTTAAGGGTTTAGGTTGTGAGTGAATGTGAGGGGTTTTGAGTGTGTGTGTGTGTGCAAGACTGATCATGATCACACCACCCAGGGCTAACCCTAAGGCCAAACAGTCTTATGGGGTCTCTTCTTGAGCTTCCTCATATTGGCTCCACATACTAAATGCTAGAGGTTAGAACCAACGTGTGGATATTCAAGAGAGCAAAAAGGCATTTGGAATTTCTAATGGTGATGGTTCCCTTACTAGTCCTCTAGAAATAGTCATCAGGAAAATCATATGGCTAGATCCTAGGCTTCTAAGGAAAAAAAGACAAGACCTCAACAAAAAGTAAGGTCAACAACCACTCACTTCTTATGACGAGCTTATCCGTGCACTAACTGTAGCTCGGATGATTGTGTAACCATTTTCTGTCTGTGGGACAAGAGAAAGTACATGTAATCTTTAGTTTATATTGAATCTCTTCAGCTGGGTCAGGCCCTTTGGTTTTTCACTTTACGGGTTCTCAATATAAAAACTTCTAGTGTCTCTATTAATTAGTTTTATTTATCTACTTGTGTGTTGAATTCTCATGCAACCCTAAGATGATAATTCATTACTCTATCGCCGTGAATTTTCTAGTATCTTCTTGCTTTAGTTATATATGCTCTTACTGATCATTTACAATAGAATGTACTTTAGAGTATGCTTTTTGCTGATGATATCCTTCTTGTGGATAAGACTATAGAAAGAGTTCTAGAAAAACTTGAATTATGGAGGTTTGCATTTGAGTGTAAAGGCCTCTGTATGAATATATATAAACTAAACACCTAACATTCTGCACCATACAGTTTTTAGTTGTAGTAGATCTAGAGATAAAGTTGTAACAATAGATGATCAAATCACTAAAGCATGTGAACATTTTAGGTATCTTCTATATATAGTTCAAAGCGGTGGTCATAGATGTGGGCTTTATTAGTAGAATTCAAGTTAAATGGTTGAAGTGGAGGAATGCTCGGGCTTATTGTGTGATAGAAAAGTATCGCTTAGACTCAAAGTAAAACATTATAAAACAATGGTGAGACCTGCAAACCTGTATAGTGCAGAATGTTAGCCTATAAAAGAGAAACATAAAACTAAGTTAAGTGTTGCTGAGATGAGAATGCTTAGGTGGATTAGTGGCTCGACACTTAGAAACAAAATGTGGAATGAATGTATCAGTGAAAAGTTTGGTGTAGCTTCAGTGGCAAACAATATTAGAGAGAGTCTTCTTAGATGGTTTGGTCATGTTAAATGTCGACTATCTAATGGTATGATTAGGAGTGTAGATGTTGTAGATTCAAATTATGTTAATAAATGTAAAGATTGACATAAGTAAACTTGTGCTTATTGTATAAAAATTGATTTTAATTTATTAAAATTAAATGAAAATATGACACTCAATAGATCACAAAGTAGAAAAAAATTAATGTAACCGACCCCACTTTGTGGGATGAAGGTCTGTTGTTGTATGTCAAAGATTTAGGTGATATGGATGCAAATATGAGTGTTTAGGGGTTGTTTAATTTCAAATAGTATTTAGTTTAAATAGGATTTAATAAGTCATATATATTTGAATCTATCAAATCCTAAAGTGTTTAAATCCTGAAAAAATATGTTAGTAAATTAATCCCAAGAAACTAATTGAGAGTTTTAAAAGGATTTTGTAGATATTATCATAATAAACATTAAAAAATAAATTTTCAATAAAAAAAGAATACAAATGAGTATCCAAAACCGCAAACTACATAAATAATGAGCATTTAAATTAATTACGAATTAACTATATAACATAAGAATTAATAATTTTTTAATAAACCAATTATTATTAAATAATAATTTAATATTAATCAATTAATTGTTAATTATATAAATTAAGAAATACTTAAAATTTTATTAAATAATTTAAAATTTAAAATTTTATTTTATTCATTAATTAACTATTAAATAATTACATTTAAAATTATCTAATTATAGTTATTTTGATAATATCTAAATTAATTATATTTAGTAATCAATTAAATTAATAAAAGTTAGCTTAAATAAAAAAAAAATTAAAAACACAAACCCGACTAATATTTTATCCTCTTCTCCTCTCCGCCCGAAAACCCTCGCCTGCATCCTCCCCCACTCCCGTTTCACTTCCCACTCCGCCCAAAGCCTCGCTTATCTCCCTCTACCTCCTGGTTTTGCTCAAAACCATCGCCTTTGTAAACGAACCTTCGCGATAAAGCCGCCATTAGAGCTAGTTGGAAGGCAACGACGGGATCGGGGCTAACAGAGACCACTGAAACCCCTATCTTTCTCAGACTCCTACCATAAACCATAGGAAGGTAAGCCTGTTCCCGCCTTTTTCCTCTTCGCTCGTCCCGGATGTACTAAATCCTCCAATTCTCAGGATTTACCAAATCCCCGATTTACGGCGAATCGACATAATTTTGGGATTTACCGAATCTCACGATTTATGGAGGTGCGTTTTGCCGTTTGACATGATTTAGGCTTAAAACCGGCGAGGATGTGAAAGAGGAAGATAAAGAGAAAAACCTATTTCTTAGAACTCTAAACCCTAATCGTAAATCCTGCTTTGCGATCCCTTTACGAATCCAATGAGAATAACCTACCTCTTAGAACCCAACCTAATCTTCCGGGAGACTAGCAACCCCGTGGTCATTAACTCTCTAGTGCTACATGTGTTTTAAGCTTTTATATACATAAAGATCTTTTAGAGAAGTGCGATAAAGAAAAGCATAAGTCTAACAGCTTTGTTTGATACACCATTATAAATAAATGTAGCATAAAGATCTAAAAAATTTGCTAAGTGTAAATTTGGATCCTCAGACAGGTTTCCCCAAATTGATTGTTATGCACCATTTGAATAATAGGAGGCGTTAATTTAAATTTGTTAGGTAGTAAATACATAAGAATTGTATAGCATTAAGTAAATGGCTTTTTCTGTGCCATTTGCATGAAAGGCACCCAATTCTTATGCATTTGCTTATCTCTCACCTAAACCTTGATATTTACACGTATAGGCTCAAATCTTTGATATCATATCAAAACTTGTATTATTATCAATTTTTAAAAGTGCAATATAGTAAAGATTTAAAGCGTTGAAGTTTTATATATATAAACATCAAATTTTAAGTGTGAGATTCATAAACATATAATAATTGTATGCTACATATGTAAAATTTTCCATATCTTTTGACGTGGAAACGGGCAAGCCTTCCTCAAATTCTCAAAAAATTGAACTTCAACAAATGGAAATCAAGGGTGAACACAATACTTTAAAAGTTACTGTAGGATTAAATTTTAGTTAAAAAATTAAGATTATCACTCAAAATTTAACATAGTCCTTGTAAAATATAAAATTTATAGCAATAAAATTAGACTTCTGATTAAATTAGATATTATTCATATCTCTTATGTTCGGCCAATTTTTCTCTTGCTCTGATTTCTTGTTACTGGATTTTGCACTGTTTATGCTTCATCTCTCTTTTTGTTGCGTCTTAAGCTGAGAATTGCAGGATTATCTTGTTTTAAAGTAGATGAATTTCACAGTCAAACATGCTTTAACTTATTCTTTGCAGGTTGTATTTGGATTTCTTATGGCAACTTCATCCCCATCTCCCTCTGCCAAGGTTGGCGAATCGTTGATAGCCACTGCAACTGTAAATGGTAATCTCAAGTCCGTAACATTTGACACCCCCAAGCAGAACCTTAGAGGGCTTAACAAGCCTAAATGCACCAAATGTGGCAACGTTGCTCGTTCAAGGTATGCATTTCCTCCTTTTTTTTTTGTAATTTATTTTTCAATCTTATTGGCAGTGCTTTCTCTTTCCAAAATGCATATATTGAGATGGCCATTGTAAGTCACCTAGAAAGAAGATGAATATCAATAATAATCAAATATAAATGATATCAATCAAAATGTCTATTTTTCCATAGATGCCTTGTGGGTTTCAATGCTTTGCAAACTTTAAATCTTTTATATATTTTTCTTAGAACCTGCTCACTACTTGGAAAATTTTTAACTAATTGCAGCTTGTTGTAGGCCTCATGATAAGGGTGCGTTTGGGGCAGCTTGTGCGTTTCAGGATAAGCTGCTTATCCTGAAACGCGGCCCGCGGGAGGGCCGTGGGGTTCGGTTCGCAGTCTGCGTTTAGTGTAAAAACTCAAACGCTGTTTCGAATAAGCTGGTGAAGCGTGAGAACCAAACGGTACAACGGCGTTTTGAAAAGGATGCCCGTACTTATAAGCTGCCCCATACGGGCCCTTAATACAATGATATTATAGTGCTACATTAATGGTCTTTCAAGTTTATATGAGATAAATTCAATCTGCAAGCCTGAACTTGCATTGCATCACCTTTTATTGTATTTCTTCTTAAATTTATGAAGGAAAATTTACTTCCATCTTTGATTTTCTATGAAATTATCATGTAATATTCTTCATTAGTGCTGAATCTCGATCTATTTGTATTAATTCAAAACACATGACAAAAGGGGAAAGAGATGGGGTCAGAGGAAGAAAATTCACTAAAATCATGCGTAAATTCTTGGCTCTAAAGCCTATAGAATGAGCAAGACATGTAATACAAGGAATTGCACGAAGCTTGTAGCATTAATAAAAAATTGTATTAGGTAATCAACTTACTGGAGAAGTCACCAGGTCCCCTGGTAGGTCCGATTGTATCTCTATCATAGGCAACTTGTTTGGCCTGCTTGGCCTATGGAGTTTGGTATGAGCGGAGGTGGAGTCATCCTTGAGCTTTAGTTGATGCGTCTTTGTGATTGGTGGGCGAGCCCACCTTGCTACTAGCAGGTAGATAACTTGGATCCGGCTGGACAAATTTGTCTACCTTGAGCTTGATCTGTGAGCTATCATCATTCAACTTGGCCTCTATATCGGAACTGATTTGACAAGCTAGTGCTGAACTTAGCTTGTTGAGATCTTCCCTTTTGTTGTCATTTTAGGAAGTTTGCCCTAGGGGTGTACAATTAGTACAAATCCTTTTTTGAAAACGTAATTTGTATTTTCGTATGGAAAGAGAATAATTTAAGAAAACAGGTAAATATTTTTAGATATTTGTAAGATTTTACATACTTTTCATGTGCTCTTAATACTCCACACTTGCTCTTATTTGGTTTCCTAAATCATGCTTCTACCATCAATAATTAAATCCATTAAGATCTGGATAGGTGTTAATGACAGACAGAAAGTTGAAATGAAAAGGGTTCGAGTAATGTAACAATAGAGAAGTAGTGGAAGAGAGTGGATATTAGGTGTGTCCAACTACTTTGAATGAGTTTTGACTCATGTTATAAAGGAAGTTCTATAAAGCACGGTATAACTGTAAAAAGTAGAAAATGACAAGCCATAAATACTGTTTTTTCTCTTTTGGTTCTTTTTAGATCTCGGAGTCGCCAACTTGCCTTTTTGTATGTCGTCGTATAATTTTCCTATTCGAGTAAATCTCCCTCTTGAACCAAATGGATGATTCGAAGAGGAGAGGAATCGAATAGTGAACTAACGTACTACAACAAATAGGCAAACAAATCAAAAAAAGAAAAAGAGACGGAAGGTTTATATAGGGATAATTCTCGTGTGATGGATCGAGAGTATACATCCAAACAAAATCGGATTGAAGTGCCTTGGAAAAAGAAAACAACATCCACGAGTAAAATCTCTATATGAACTACCCGTAACCAGAGAACCAAAAAGAACATTTTTTGTTCTGGGGTCAAAAGTCTCCCAGAGGAACGTATTCCTACTGGTTAATTACATCTCGGGGGATACCCAAGAAGACTCTCGATGTAAGGAGTTTCGCTTTATCATTATGAACATGGGGTATAGGTTATCAAAAAGTGATTATTTCGTATGGAATAGTCTCGATGCTTTGAAGCTCACGCTGCACCATCGGGCGGAAAGTGAATCTCTCACGCCAAATGGATAGCGGCTTCTCAACTCACGAAACCTACGAATAACCATAAATCACTTCAACAGGGGTATCCCAATACGTCATAGCACATCCGGACCGTAAGGGCAGAGGACAAATCGTCGTATCCCGAACAGGCGGCAGCTTATCGGCATCGGGTCATCAAAGTGACACCAACGAAGTCAAAGGAGCAGAAATGGCTCAACAGGGGTAGTTAAAAGGCAAGGAAAAGTGATCCTAGGAGGTAGAGATAGTCAAGTCGGGGTACCACGGACCCGTTGTCCCAAACAACTGGGACCCTAAGTCTACCTGGTCGTGAAGGTAGTCGACCCAACAC